AAAAATATTAGAAGTATATATTTACATAAAGTATAATAAAGATATAAAATATGTACATAAATATATATAGATTAAAATAATGAAAACAATAATAATAATAAGTAAACCAGAATGAATATATATATATAATGATAATAAATGTAATAGATAAAAAAGATAAAAAGGATTAAAATTAATAATCATAAAATTAAAATACGAAGCATGGGCTAAATTGAAAAGAAAAACGAATTGAGTGGCCAAATTAGAATAAAATCGGGGTTTAAATGCAATTTTGGGACCAAAATGGAAGGTTTTAAAACAGAAGAACCAAAAGCGCGGTTTATCCTATTCATAACGAAAATACGCGGATCCTATTAAGCGGGTCGGGTCCAGGCGCGGGTCTAACGGGCTAATATTTAAGCAAAAAAATTTCTTAAAGCTTCATTTTCTCTTCAGCTCAAAATCGAGCCCTCCTCCTTAACTCATTTCTCTCTCGATTGTTCATCACAAGGATGAACGCTCTGTTGTGGTTCTTCAAGAACCCAGGAAATGCCGCCTCGTCGCTGCCGTTGATCGGCGCCGACCGCCGACCATCTTCGGCAAAATCAAAATTTTCTTGCACCATTCGAAACCTCTTTCTATCCCGCTTCGAAAATCAAAACATTTTTTAAAGATTATTGACCTCAGGGGCTAGATCTACAAATGAAGATCTTTAGAACGCTCATCCGTTTATCGGTCTAAAGCTCATTTTTGGGGTTTAAAACAAAGAAAAAATAAATGCATGCAACAAAAGCCGACCGCAATGATGGTAAAAAAACTGAAATATATACCTCTTTTATTTCTTTTTCGAAATGCTCTACAAGTGTTCAAACTCTCTTTGTGTTTGCTATTGTGAGCTTATGTATGTGTTTCCCTCGTGGTAATCTCTCTGATATTGTGTAAGCATTTTCTATAAGATTACAACTTTATTTATACTAAAAACGCATGCTATTTTTAGCCTAGTTTGAGTCCTACTCAAACTTTAACTCTTGTTTGTTGATTTTGTGGGTCGTTGCCGAGGAAACCGGTCGGTTGGTTGAGCAAAACGTGCGGTGCAAGACTCGGCGTGGCTTGCTGCGACGCTGGGTGAGGCGAGAGAAGAGATAGCTTAGGGTTTTATATAAACCCTAATCCACATTGGTTCGGGCTGCATGACTAGGCCTCGTGGAACTTGGGTCATGTTGGGCCACGTGCAATGGGTTGTTTGATGGGGCCTGAGATCTATAAAATAAATATATGTAAATGTTTGTTCAATTATTATATAATATAATCTATAATATAAACATATTATATGATATCAAATGACAAAATTTGGTGTCTTCAGGAGTGAGGGAAAAAATAAAATACAAAACCAAAGAGAGAATAAAAGGATAACTATTCGGCCGATGAACGAGGAAGATGATCGGAGGCCAATCCCGACGATCCAAACGGTGAGAAGAGAGGAAAGACAACATGGAACAACATACTAAGGAATCAAGAAGATCCAACAGTGGACGGTGGCACATCAGAGAAAGGGAAGTCGAACGGTCTTCAACCTTTTTTGCGCCAAACGGAGCAGTTTTAGGAGAAAATGATCCCGGATCAGAAAAGATGAGACCAAAATGAACTTACCGACATAATTTAACCCCCATCGGAGATTGGCATAGGCAGCGAAAGGCGTCTGCTACTTTTGTAGAGAGAACCTTCTCTCTCTGGAAAAACAATAAAATAAAGGGAAAATAGGAAAATGGCCAAAGAATGTTTATTTAAACCCAATCCAAAACGACGTAATTTTGCGGGGGTTGCACAGGTACTAAAATGGCGTTGTACCAGCTGATCTGCGCCTCTTAGGAGTTTTAGGAAAAATGTGGACCCGGTCCCTCTACCTTTTTCGTAAATTCATATTTGTCCTTTGTTCATTTTAGTTTGGCATTTATCTTTATATTTATTTTATTTTAGTCCTTTTCCATTTTTATTATTTATTTATTTATTATTCAAATTTTTAATTCGTGTTTCATTTCTACTCTTTTTTTCAGGCTTCTCCGGTATTTTTAATTTGTTGTTTTTTTGTTTATCTCGTTCAATCTTTTTATTTATTATAATCCTAATATTTTTGGTTTATTTTAACCCTTTTATTTTTTAATTTATTTTATTTACAGTTTAATTATATAATTGTCCCAATCTAACTATTTTCTTTTGTTATTTTTAGGTTTCTTCAAATTGAACACCGATCTTTATTTTTAAATTATTTAGTTTCATTTTGACTATAACTTGCTTACTTTTTCTAATTTATTACACGTTTTTTTATTTTAATTACCATTTTATTTTAATTATTTTCTTTTGTCTTGTTTCAGGTTTCCTCTCATCAAAACTACATTTTTTATTATATTTTTATTTATTTTCTTTCTTAACTTTAATCTTTTTAGAGAATCCAATTAAATCATAAATGATCGTCAAAGGTAAATAAATTTGGATCGAACTTAAACTTTTATTTAAATTTATATTTTTCGCAATTAAGACAACTCGATAATAGATTGGTATTGAAAGGGTGATTCGAGGATGCTCATCCTTGCTCGATCGTAAATGACTCATGAATCCAACAAAATCACTGGTAAGACGCATATTCGATAAATGGGCAAAATCAAGGTGTCCAATCTCCCTCATTCAAAACGATCAGTGGTGACCTCCGTCATGATTCTAAGTCGAAGTGAAAACCCAAGATCTCTCGAAGTACCGTTGCGACAAACATTATATAAGTCTAAAATTTATAATTAAATTTATTTAATCCTCCTTAATATAAATATAATCATTAATTAATAAATAGTCTGAGTTTCACAATCTAACACAAAATATTATATTTTTTATTCTTTGATTTCTATCGTTAGTCATTAGATGAAATTCGAACAAAGATATATTACTCTCTACCTCAAGATATGAAGTGTTAGAATCTTTAAATGAAGACTTCAATCACCAGAAATTCACCAAAACCAAACTTTTATTTGTTTGTTTCGAATTCACTTTCTCATATTTAAAAACAAAAAACCCTTCTAAAATGGGATAATTCTATAACTTTAAAAAAATTAAGAAAACCCATAATTTGAAATATAAATTAAACGGATTCTTATTTCCTTTAACAAACTCATTATGGTTTAATTTGATTTTAACAAACCCATACTTTGAAACGTAAATTAAATTACAATTTCATTTTTTTCAACTAAAATATTTCAATTTTCTTCATAGTATTTAATAACCAAGGGAACCAAGGTAATGATTCAAGTATAGGTGGATGTTCGATTAATGATTGGTCTGGAATGATAAGGGATGGAACAAAGAACGGTAATGACAATAGAAAGTAAATGATGAAGATGCCAAAATTATTGAAAAGATTATAAAAGAAAAATGAGGTGAACAACACATGACTTCTACCTCAACAAAAGAACTGGTCGTGTACCTACATCCTTTCTGATTTAATGTCCGAGTGACAAAAAACGAAGAAATGACATTTAAATGATTAAATAGAATTCTTTTTAAAGTTTAATAAGCAAAATTGAAAGTGAGATCAAAGTTGAATGATGAAATTTATAATTTACCCGTACTAGAAATTAAGTTGCTACTAGACGCTTCACATGAATGGAAGAAGCAATTCGATAGAGAGAGATGTGGGTTGGACTTGGCCAGCTCTGACTTAACCTAACCTGACTGTCATAGGACGAAGTGTGTGTTATTATAGCTAGTGGGAAACAACCATAGCAAACGAATTGAGGCGATGAAGGGCCCATCAATTATTGAGATTGCAGCATGAAATTTGTTTGCAAAACCATTCTTGATTCTTCTATCAATGTTGGTAAATTCCATGTTTTTCTTTCAAGCCCATGAAACAACAACAAAGTTAGGTTGCGATACTTCTAGTTTACTACTTCGATACTAAGATGTTTGAAATGTTCCATTAGCTTGGAATTTCTGACGGTACATTATTCAGTACAAAACAGTGAAAATTCTTACCAACATTGCCCAAAGAAAGGAAAAACTGTCTACATACTACTGGAGGAGGAAAATAAGAACATTTTACCTTAGGCAGTGTCGTCTTTATAAAAGGCAAACCAGATGTCAATAACTCAACTCAGCAGTCCAGTTCATCTCGTTTTCTGTAAGACCCATCTGGATTTGAGTAAGCATGGAGTAAAGTTGTTGTGAAACAGGCCCGAAACCATCTAATCCATATGATACCCTGCATATTGTAAGTATTTCACAATAAATTTAATTTGATCTGTAAAATTAAGAAGTTAAAGCTCAACTACGGCCACTGCCCATGCTACTTGGATTCGAGTTCATTGGACACGGGTTTGTATCTGACATGGGCATTTTCAACAATTTTTAAGTTATTCTATGTTTTTGGACTTTTGGAGATTGTATTCTCAGCACTCCTAATTTTCATGCAAGTGTTAATATTTTATTTTTTTAGAATAATGTCCCCATGCAAAAGTAGCTAATAAGCTCGGCATACCTATCATTTCCATCTGCTGTAAAGGTAAAGAATGGAAGACTCATTTACCCTTGAAAGTAATGCTGCCAACAGGTGACAGCACCACTGTTGTCCCAGTGCAAAAAACTTCGTCTGCATCAAGCAATTCATCTACTTCCACAAGGCGTTCCTCAGTCTGCATCATCAGCAGATAAGCATTAAGAAGTAACCCAAGGTGCTCCCTTACATACTCACCGAAATTGTATAATATGAAATCTGGGAAAAAATTATCAACTCAATCCAGTGGGCAACATCCATGTAGTTAAAAGAAACTGCATCATAGAGTTGCAGAATACCTATCAATATATTCAGATGTTATACACAAGTTAAGAAATTTTATTAAAAGGAAATATAACTCGCTCGAATTTTCTGTTTTCTCCAAGTTCAGAGATCTGGAAAGTTGGACTTATTTTTTAACAAGGGCCTCTATTACTTAATTGTCACTCGAGGTGACAAGTGACCACTTAGAGACATTAATTGTCACTCGAGGTGACAAGTGACCACTTAGAGACATTCTTTCTATCACTAAGATGTAGTCTGAGTGACAATTAACCACTGTGAGATTATTCATACCACTAAGATGTAATTTGAAGTGACAAGTAATCATTCTTTAAGAAACAAAAATTAATCGAGAAACACCATAGCACCGCAGCATTCACAAGATACAGAAAAAAAATACTAAATTGTAACATAACCAGATTTTCCAGGTCCAGTTATACACATTCCCATATACACAACTTTATTTCGATAGGATGAATTCATCAAGAATCTTCAAAACAGCACAAGTACCTGAAACCCGTGGCTTCGAGCAACATCAATTATACTCTTTCTTGTGATACTAGGTAAGATTGTTCCCTTTATTATAGGAGTGGAGATGATATTATCCTAAAATAAAAAACTATATCAAAAAAGGCATATATTAGTGTCAACTGGACTACTTCGGTATGTTTAGCTCCTCAACCATGATTAAGGAAAGATCTCAAACAAACCTTATTTAACTCAATATTCCCAACTCTTCGATGGTATTTTATTTTTTTCGAAACACAATAGCTTCTTTATTGCACAAGCATTTTTTTTATTTATAATTATTAGTATTTCCCCCCCCCCCCCAACAAAGGGTAAAAAGTATTATCTCTTTAACGAGATCTGAATTTGCATTGAGCATTTCTTAAATATTAGAGTTGTTGTCAAAGAGCATTGGTTAGTTCAATTGTTCATGCTTTAATCGCCAAAAACAAATATATTTTTTAGAGGGTGAAGGTTCGGATGAACTTATTAAAATTTGAGTTGCAATACACTAATACAGCTTCCTCTGTTGCATTAAAAATAAACCTTTACCGAGTAATGAAAATCTTATAAAGCCAAAGTGAAATCACATCGTATCTTTAATAGGAAATCTCCAAAAACAATTACACAGCATGAAAGCATAATCTTGAATCCTGATGTTAAAGAGATAAGGCATCCCATCTTCATTTTAATCAATTGCTGACTTTGATAAGAACTACAAGACAAATTAACACATGTAAAATATTGTAATGTATGGCAGAAGGATTTGGATATGGGAGGAGAGTCCGAGGCTAGCTAACATGCATGTTTTGTCTTTAGCCGGCAGCCCTTTGCGTGCCATTATTTTTCTTTTTCAACTTCTTCATTATTCGTAGCAATAAGTTTATAATTAGTTTAGACTATTTTTAAAAATTAATTAATTGGTGTTGAAAAGGTTGCGAGTAGATTAAGATTATGAAAGAACGAAATAAAACATGTTAAAAACTACAATTAGCATGGAACTATTAATGTTGGCTTTATCTCTTTAGTTCTTTTACCAATACTAGGTGGAATCCAATTATCCAACCAAATATTTGGGTATATCAGGGAAGAAGCTTCACATCTTTGTTGCAATATTGGGCATAAAAGTGGAGTAGAGGGTTTAAAACATTTCAATTTACAATCTTACTTGAATAGATTATGTGCATGTGGGGGTATAGTGATTTTTTTGGGCTTAAAAGTAAGGTGATCACTCTAGATAAAATAAAGGCTCTATATTGTGAAAATGATACGAAATATACAATAAAGTGTTGTGTAAATTGCACTATATGAAAGGAAATAAAATGCAACAAAAATGAAAAAAAAATCATGTGTGAATTAATCTAGTAAATTTTATTTTAGTCTAAAAAGGAAAAAAAATATAGATCTAAAACTAACCAAATTATAACACTCCTTTTGTAGTATATATATTCAATCAAATAGAGTATATCACTTTAAAAAGTCGAAGTAATTTGACTCATAATCCAAAATAAATAAATAAAAACGTGATACATAAATCTCTTAATTTTAAGATTACTAAATTCAAATTATCAATTTTCATTTCTCAACTTCATATAACAAATTAGGGGGCGTTTGGTTCACGGAAAAGAATATTATCAATGATAGTAATCTTTTTCGGAATAGAATTCCCACGTTTCGTTCAAGGAAAAGATTATTATCAGGGAAAAATCTTTTCTCAATAGTAGCATTTTTGGGTTAAAATGATGCGAATGTCATTACCTCCAAATTATTAGGTACTAAACAATTTCTACCATTCTGGACAAGAATGTCCCTAGACTAATGAATTATTTTTATAACGATCCTTTTTAATTCTTATTTTTTTACTTTACTCAAAATTATAAATATAGTAATAATGTAAAAGGAGTTTAATTTAATAAAATATTAATAAATTTGAGTATTTAAAATTATTTTATGCTTTCAATATCCAATATATTAATTATTTATATTTTTATGAAGTGAAAAATAAAATGTTGTAAAAATGTAATTATTTAAAATTATATCTAACTTTAAGTTATTAAAAATAGATTTTATACATTGAAAAATAATATATTTGTTCACTCGAGATTATAATATATTTTTTCATATTATATTATATATTATATAAATAAATATGATGATTATGAAAATTATTTAAAAATGTAAGTTTAATATTGTAACATCCTCCATGTCGGGTTAGTGATTAATTTGCAAAGTTTCAACATTTGGTGATTTAAGTAAAATGATGGAAGAGTGTAATGATCTATTTGAGTTATTTGGTGTAGGATTGAATTATAAAGAAGGAGAATTAAGAGGGCAAAAGAGTAATTGAGTAAATGAAATAATTAAATATTCCTTAGGGTGATATTATAAATCACGTGGGCATTTGAGATAAGCATTCCAGACTTTTCTCTTCTTCTCTTCCTTCTCCAACCGTGAAGCTTGCAAGTAAAGGTAAGAATCTGAACCTTGGTAGTTCCTTTGATTTTTAGCTTGGAAATTGAAGTTTGGATGTTATATAAGCTAAAGGAAAGCTTATATGACATTAAGACAACAAGATAAGTGTTTTAGAGATAGATTTGGAAAATGAGTTTTTAGATGAAATTTTGATAGGGATGAGTTTTTGAAGTTTGAATAAGATTTTTGACTTGTCAATAAGCTAACTAAGAAGTATGAGGTGTTAGAATTCAAATTAGAACATGTTGGAATTTGGGTTAGATTCTTAAATTCTACATGGAGAATTAGATTTCTAAGTTTTAGAAATATTTAATGGATAATAATTAGCTTAAGTAAGAGTATGCAAGTTAGGAAATAAGAAAGAGGATGATATATGAAGGATTAAGCTGAAAAGAGTGGATTTTCGGGCATAAAAGAGGATTCTGGGCAGAGTGCATCGATGCATATTCATAGTGCATCGATGCATAAAGTTTAAAACCCAGAAATTATTTGAAGGTGTATCGATGCATTGGTAATGCATCGATGCACTCTTTTAAAATAGAAACATCGAATGCAATTAGTGCATCGATGCATAAGTCATGCATCGATGCATCCCAGTAATAATACAACATCGAATGCATTTTATGCACCGATGCATCAGTAGTGCATCGATGCATACCCTCATTAAAGGATGAAATTGGCTTTTCTATGAGTCTAAGGAATGATAGTTTAGAATATATTAATTAGTATACTGATAAGTATCATTGAATTATTATGTAGATACTGAGCCTACACGAGTTCGGGAACAATCTACAAGTAGGATCGATCGAGGAAAAGGCAAAGAAATATAGGTGAGTGCATATGCATAGCATAATTATAGAAATATACTCCATTCTAGACTTGTGATAAGTCTAGATTTTATATCTTGGTACATGAGCATATTCTGTATTATGAGACATGACATGAGTTCATATAAAATGAATTATATGACATGACTATGTGGGAAAAGTTATGAGCTATGTGAAAAGGTAAGAATTTACATGTCTACGCGATATAGACTACGTGAAATGTAAAAGCCCATGTTATGTAGATGAGAACTATAGGTATAGTTGGCATGCCAAGGGTAGAGGGTCTACGCGGTCCTTCGGGACATATGTATATTCTTTGGAACATGTGTGAAGTCTTGAAAGACACATACTTGATCCCTAGTATATGTATATGATTCTTAAGGAATTCTATGTGGTCCTTATGGACATCATTATATGGCACTACGGTGCAATTCTACGCGGTCCTTCGGGATATATATATATTCTGTGGAACATGTGTGAAGTCTTGGAAAGACACATACTTGATCTCTAGTATATGTATATGATCCTTAAGGAATTATATGTGGTCCTTATGGACATCATTATATGGCACTACGGTGCAATTCTACGCGGCACTTCGGTGCATTTATACGAGCTGTGGTGACAGCATAATGCACAACCTCACATTACTCAGATACCTTAGGTTCTCAATATGCTATCATGGGCCAATAAACTTATTAATACAAATTCATGAATGTTAAAGTCATACGCTTACAGGTATGGATATTGATGATGTAGACTACATTGATTAAGTACATGTTTGCATCTTATTTCATATGATCATGACATTTTCATTACATTGCCTTGTTATTATTATTGCCTCACTAAGTCGATGACTTAGCGTGTGAGTGTTTCACACGTAGGATCCGAGAAAATAGACGAGACAGGTGAAGCAGCTTGACAACATTACTCCTGCAACCACCATATCAGAAGCAACTTAATCAGTAGGTCATTTTGTTATGTAAATGGCAGTTGGCATGTAATTAAAGGGTTAAGTTGTGTATGCTCTGAATATTTTGGTAAACTTATATTATAATATGTATATTATCGTATTTTCTTAATATAAGTTCAAATATTTTGCTATTATTTGTTAAAAGTTGTGTTTTAAAGTCAATGTAGTATCTCTGACTCATATCCGGGTCGGGTACGGGTTGGGGGTGTTACATTTAATGGTATCAGAGCTATGGTTTAACCGATTCTAGGCATAAACCAGAGTCTATAGAGTCTTTAAATGGAATACATACCAACAAATAGTGAGAACTTCTGATCTGGTATAGTATGAGTATGCTGTTTTGCTAATAGAACAATGTGTTTATTCTTATTAGATGTCCGGACATAATAGCTCCCGAAGTGAAGCGGGAGAAGATTGGCATGCTGAAAGCAGTAATTCACCTGCCCTGGCCAGGCAAGGTGAAGAACATGCATCTCAAGGAGTGCCTGTGCAAGATCAAGATACGTTCTTCAGAACGTTAGACGCTATTCTGACGCGTCTTCAACCTTCTGCTCCACTAACTCAAAGAATTAATGTAGCAAAAGAGTTGAGAGGTTTAGGAGCTCCCGAATTTAAGGGAGAAGCTGAGGAAGGTCCAGTGTCAGCGAATCTTTGGTTGAATGATTTGAAAATCATGTTAGATGGTCTCCATTGTTCCGAAGTGGAGAAATTAGATAGAGCTGTGTCTTTATTGAGGGGTCAGGCGAGGATATGGTGGACGAACGTCACTATGAGGATGTCAACCGACCAGTTAACTTGGTCTTTGTTTTTAGAAGAATTTAAAAACAAGTATATTGGAGATCA